CTCATTTCCTGCCACGGAGGCCTTGAAGCCGGAGGTCATCGCATACGTCAAGAAGGCGCTCGGTGGTTTCAACCCCAAGTTCAAGCACCTGGATGCGTCGGCATGAAGGCGCCGGGGTGGGCAGGGAAACCCCCCTGGCGAAGCCATTCCCCATGCGACGATACCGCCCCCGATTCCCCCCCCGCCACCACCGGCCACGCCAAGACCCGGCGAATTTGGGCCGGAGCGTGGTGACCCCCAGGGACCACACTCGGGCACGGCCTACAAGGGTACTGTCACGCGCCGGCTTACTTCGCCGCCCGCGCGGACAAAAAAAACCCTACGCACAGGACAACACGCCTACACACGCACCGGAACGCTGGTTCTCCCGCACCGGAACGCACAGGCGTCATCCCACGCGTCGTCGATGGACGAGAACGTCGACTTAGGCCACGTCGAGATGGCAAGCACCGGAACGCTGGTTCTCCCGCACCGGACCGCTCAACCGCTACTCGACGTGCGCACTGCTGCGGCTCCATCGGCATATGAGCACGCCGCCGGGGGTCGCAACACGATTGTAAGCACCGGAACGTTGGTTCTACCGCACCGGACCGCCATTACAGCATCACGTTCAACGTCGACGGACGAGAACGACGACTTTGATCGCACTGCGACGGCGAGCACTGGAACGCGGGGCATCCCGCACCAGAACGCTTCGCAACCATCGCAGAGAGCGCGTACGCATGAGCAGCAACTTCGCTTCCGGGTGGCATCCATGGCGGCACGCAAACGGCTTCTGTCGGGACACGTGCGGACACCTCTGGCGGTTGACGTGGCGTTTGCGGCGCAGCTCCAGAGCCACCTGCGCAAACGACTTGAGCTCCACACCAAAATCGCACAAGCACGGCTCAACATCGCGCTCATGGAAGCAGGTCTGCAACAGCTTCCCGACGCGTCACACGAGACGGACGCGGAGACAGCCGCGGACCTTGATGAGACCAAGATCGAGCAAATTTCGCAGCTGGTGCTTCTCAAACACTTGACGCCGGAAGACACCGTCATGCTTCTCCGCGGTCAGTGCCCCAAGGATCCGCGACCGAACAAGGCGCTCTTCCCAGAGGAGCTGGCCCGGTTGCTCCACGGTTACTCGCACTGCGACACGCTCATCGCTGTAGCATCAGCCGGATTTACAATCCCGACCCGGGCAATCGCGTCGGCCAAACCGGCGCATCCGAAGAACCACAACTCGGCCGAACGGCATAGCCGCACAGTACGCCGTCACCTGGCAGAAGGCCAAGCGCGCAACGAGTATGCGTTCTTCACCGACGCGGTTCTCGCCCGATGGACTCACGCCGGCCACGACATCCGGCTCAGCCCGCTCGGCCTTGTACCGAAGAACAACGCGAGCCTTGATGTCGATGGACGCGTCATTCACGACCTTTCGGCACCGGACAAAGCGGCGGTCAACGATCTCACGAACAAAGACTTGCTACCGGACGTGCGTTGGCGTCGAATCTCGGAAGTCGCGTCACGTATCATCGAGTTGCACAAGCGGCTAACCGCGAGCACAAGGATCATGGGGATGGCAGGCGACGTCAAGAGCGCGTTCCGGCATCTACGGGTCGCGGCTTGCGACGCCAAATGGCTTGGCGCCCGAGTTCCCGGATCCAGCCATTGGGGCCTCGATCTCTCGGGTCCTTTTGGCTGGTGCGGCAGCCCACCGTTCTACGTCGTGTTCGGCCGAGCGATCTCCTTTCTGGTATCTCGGGAATCGCCCAGCTCGCTCAATCCAACACAATCAACCGACACGGAGCCATTTTGGGCGCTCGAATGGATGGACGATCATATCCTCATCGAGCTCGTCACACAGCCCGATTCGGAGACGGTCCCAGCTCGAGCGACGGCGGCGGAAACCGCGCTACGGCTAGGCATGATGGCGGTACTAGGACCGACAAGCATCAACGAGAGCAAGTTCAAGGAGTGGACGCCCAACCTCCACGCTTTGGGTCTCATTTGGCACTTGAACGAAGCGACGGTCTCGATGCCAGAGGACAAGATTGCACGCGCCTCGGCACGCGTCGACGCTTTGCTCATCCGAGGCCGCGCTACAAAAACTACCCTGCTGCAGGTGCTGGGGTCGCTCAGACACGTTTGCTCATGCGCCCCAGCAGCCAGAGCGTTCTACCAACGGCTACACAGCGTGGCCGTCAATGCGACGCCATTCAAGACGTTTACACTGCCCGACCTGGCCCGCCGCGACCTCGAACTTTTTCAAGCCATTCTGGCGCAAACCAACTTTGCCCACGTACCGGCAGCCATCTTTGATCGGTCGTCCGAACCCGGCCTACACCTCTACATGGACGCGAGTGACGAAGGGCTGGTCGTTCTGGACCTCGCGCACCGTCGCTACATCCAGCTGTTTTTCGACCAATCCGAGCGCGAGATGATCCGGGCGGTCAGTGGAAATTCGTCTGGCACGGAAGCGCCGGACACAGCGTTCTTCTCGATCAACGTCCGCGAGCATCTAAGCTTGTGTCTCGCGGTGAGCATCTGGGCCCGAGCGTGGTCAACTCTCGACAAAGGCACTCTCCACGTACACGCGTGGATCGACAACGCGTCCAGTGTGTCATGGGCAAACAAGCTCGCAGCGTCCAACGTCTACGCTCAAGAGCTCAACCGCCATCTAGCGCTCGCCCAAGCAGTCAATCGTCTGTACGTCACGGCGGGCCACATGGCCGGAGCACGGAACGAAATGGCCGATTGCGGGTCACGCAGCCTTGCCGAGCCGTTCAAATCGCGATGGCTCCAGTTTTCTCACGGGTGGGAAGCGTGCCCAGTGCCAGCCAACATTCGGTACATGTACAAGCCGACGTCCGACGCTTTCAAGACGCCGCTCTGGCCTCAAGCACACACGACCGCTACAAGGCCGCGTGGGAACAGTGGCGCGTGTGGCGAGGGCATCGCCGACAGTCACCATGGCTACCCAAGGAGGAACGCGAGCAGACCGACGAGCTTGTCCAGTACGTCTTGCACCTCCGCGACGGCGGCAACTCCGCTGCCACCATCCGATCCAAACTATGCGGCATCGCTTGGCGTCATCAGCGACACGGTGGGTACACTGTGGCGCTGGCACCCGACCATCGGCTCGTCCTCCGCGGGATGGAACGGGACGACGGAGCCACCCGACGAATGGAGCCCGTCACAGCGGCAATGCTCTGGCATTTGCGGGCCGGACTCAACTTCGACGACCCCCAGCAGCGCTCACTCTGGGGGGCTACGCTCCTGGGCTTCTTCTTTCTCTTGCGGAAGTCCGAGTACCTCCACGAAGGATCCAAGCCAGCGAAGCACGGTCTCTGCGTGAGAGACATCCGCTTCACGACGGCCTGGGAAGAGGTAGCGACGTCCGAAGATCAAGTGCACGAGGTCCACATCAAGCTGACGAGCTCGAAGACGGACCAGCGGCGCGGCGGTGTGACCTTGCGGTTGTCCCGGTCCGGTAGCTTTTGGCTCTGCCCCATCCCAGCGATTTGGGAGCTGCGGCGCATTGCGATCGCCGCTGGGGCCAAGGCCGACGAACCGCTATGCACCACGCTCGCGCCGGACGGAACAAGAGTCGCGATCAACGAGAGCCAAGTCAAGGCACTCTTACGCGACACGGCGAGAAGGATGGACAAGGACCCGTCAGCTTACTCCACCCACTCATTGCGAAGTGGTGGAGCGACCGCACTCTTCAAGGGCGGCGCGACGGATCTGGCCATCCAGAAGTTTGGCCGATGGCGCAGCGACGCGTTCAAGTCGTACGCACACATCGACGACGTCGAAATCGCTCAGCTAGATTTCGACGCCTACTAAGCAACCCGCCTCACCTCACCCGAGGTCATGGCAGTAATGAAGGCATTACGCCCTTTGCCCCCTGAGCAAGCTCGCCATTGTGAAAAAACATGTGGTGCTGCCGTTCTATATTTTGGGAATCTTGCGTGTGCCCCTTGCTTTTCGGGTCTTGGATGTGTCGAGTTGCTGGAGCCAGTGGTGTCGTGGCACACTATTACGGTCGGTCACTGTCGGTGGTTCCTACATAGATACACTCGACTCGCTGGGACCAGCTGGGCGTTGCTCTGGCATCGGGTGCAACATCTCTGTTGCGATTCAAACACGTGGCTGCATGGATAGGCAGCACGGAGATCTTATTTACCGATTGATTAAAGACGACGATGTGGACGACAGAGGTGGTGAGTGAGGACGTTTCATCTCTCATGCTCCACCTGTCGAGAGACAGCAGACGACTGTGCTTTACGACTCGTCCTTGTACGACTTGAGGTCCGCTTTGCGCTTGTGCTCTTCAATCTTCTCGGCCAAGACGCGCTGCACGAGCTTGGGCGAGATCCCGACCTATTCGAGTACGTGTACGTATGCAAGTGTTGATGATCGCGTGAAAAACCTCGTCTTGGGCGTACGCCATGTTCTGGAGGTAGAGCATCATCTTGCTGATCTCACGACCACTCATGCCTTGCGTGGCAGCTCCTGCCTTGTCCAGGATCGCCGTGCACTCGGGGTTCTCGCCGCCCGGAAGCGCCGCGACGCATTCTAAAACAACGACTTGATACCAGCGGCCAACGACGGAGTTGTGCTACCGGCAAAATAGAGGCGAAGCAGGCGGACGCGCTCGTTGGCTTCGGGCAAGTCAAAGTGCAGCGCATCATCGATGCGGTCGGTAATGGCCGTGTCGAGGTCTTCGGGCCGGTTGGTCGCAATCACAAGCATAAAGTGTTTGGTTTGGGACCCCTACCCCATGTTTTTGCAGACCCTAACCACCACAACGACCCTACCGTGTGGAAGAGCAGCGCGTTGAGAGCATTCCGCATCGCTTCGCTCATGTGGGTTTTGCGTGTGGCTCGGCAGCCCAAGAAGGCTTCGGCTTCGTCGATGAAGATCAAGACACCTACAGATACCTTGTTGGATCGGAACGGACATCGAGATTTTCGGACCCCGGGGGGAGGCTTGGGCCCACCGAAAGAGTGCGTGGAGCTCCGTGACCGCATCACTGCCAAGGGGGCCCTAGACAATATAGATCATGCTCCATGAACAACGGATAGTCACAGACGTACGACGTCACCACCGCTCATGATGGCATAGTCCATGCCCGAGCAAATCGCGAGGCGCTTGGCGACCATGGTTTTCCCCGTCCCTGGCGGGCCGTATAGCAGCAGATGGCGGTAGGGAGCCCCATGTTTTTTCTAGTACCAAGTATCAAGTTGAAAGATTGCAAATGTCGTCATCGCACGGCGTTCTTTGTCGACTTGGCCAAGTCGTACAAGCGTGCTTCGAGCGCCGCGTGGACCACAACGTCCGAGAGCGGCTCTGTGCCGATGGGAGCCGCAAAGAAGCTGCGCACCCAGCCGATGAAGCCGCCACGGCGCGACGTCTCTCGGACCAGCGACGGTTTGCCGAGACTAGATAAATGTAAGAAATCCAAAAATCCAAAAATTCAAAACTCCAAAAAATTCCAATCAATTCTAAATCGTACCGTTGCTCGATGATTTGGCCACCAATGCGTATGCACTCGCGCGTGAGGTAGATGCCAAACGCCAGTGCCACAAACGAACCAATAAACTTGAGCAGTTTGTCCGAGTCCGAGAGCAAAACGAGCGCACCCGCGCCAAGGTTATCGAACGTCGCTTGCAGCGCCGTCATGACCTTGTCCTTCTCGGCTTCAAATCTAAGCAGACGATTGTCATTGCTGCCATTTGTTGGGAGAGGATGGCTCTACTGGGCATGGAGCTGCGCCATCTCAATGTCTTGGTTCATGCGCTGCTGCTTGATACGCCCCTCGACGTCAATGACGGCCTTCTCCAGGGTCGTGTTGCGCTCGAGCCACATGCGCTCCTTATCCGCTTCGAGCTGCCGCTCCTTCAAGATGGCTTCGGTCTCCCGGCGCTTGAGCTCGATGCGGGCACTGGAGGCTTCTTGCATGTCCACCTAACAATGGTGGCGTAATCAATCAAATAAATCAAATAAATCAATCAAATGCGTACAAGCTCCTTGTTTTGGTCGCGCCGCTGCGTATCGTCAAAGCGAATGCGCTCCAGCTCAAGTGCGTTCTCGCGCTCAGCGAGGGCCACTGCGTTGGTGTGCGCCACGGCCAGAGTCTGTCGCTCTTGGTCCGCTAGTAGCCACATCGCACACTCTCCAAACCATTGATACATTGATAGTCATACCTTTGGCCGACACAGTGTCGAGCTCCAGCTGCGCTGTATCGCGCGTGGCCTCGGCGATCTTGCGCTGCTCGATGAGGACCGCAGAGGCTTCTTGGTCCAAATGCACTTGGAGCTTCTCGAGACCTACGAAGCTCGTCATCGGTGCGATTCGAGCGAGGTCGTTTACGGGCCGACGCGTCGTCGAGTTGCCGCTGAAGGCGCTGGGCCCCGGCCGTCGCGTCGCCTTGGCGCCGGATCAACACTTGGGTTGCGGCCACGTTGTGCATAAAGAGCGCATCTTTATCGACCGCGTGGAAGTTTTGAATCGCAATTTTCTCCTTTTCCTATACAGAGATGCACCAGACCATCCACGTCTTATCACGCGAAGTACTTGGCTGTACACGTGGCGCTCGGGGTACACGTGGATGCCTTCGGGCAAGAGGTTGCGCAGCAGCGGCGAGCCAATCACGCCAAGCTGCCGGCGTCCAGGAATTGAGTCGTACTTGAACTCAAAGTTGGTCAATTGGATCTAAATGAGAGGCGTGGGCTTGTATGTATGGAGGCGCCAGCGCGCACCTGCGTGATGACGTGGAGCGAGTGCGTAGCATTGGCGTCCTCGACGCCCGTAAAGGCGTCGGCGTAGGCGACACTGGTGGCATTTGAGGACCGCGCGCTCCGGCCGATGGCGAGGCCATGGCTCGCGGCGGCGGAGGCGAGGACGAGCGTAGCGCAGCGCAACATCGGTCCAAGGCGACGCTTCGGCCACGTGGAATCTTACCGACTTGGCGAATGTGAACGTCAATGTCATGAATGTATGTAAAGATCCATCTTTGTAAAGATATGGCCGAACCGTCGCCACCCACTTGGCCTCACAAAAGCTAGGAAACCAGACAATTCTTCACGTGAGAAAACTCTCCGATTTGCGGCGCTTACAACTATAGCTCACGATCGATAGCAAGTGAGAAGTCAATTATCATTCGTATAGGCAGTGTGGTGGAGTCTGCCAAGCTCTCATGGAGGCGAGGAGATGGCAAAGATACCAGGAGCTTGCCACCAAGGCGCGCCCGAATATAGTATAATTTAACCGAGCCAAATCAAGTCTATATGAGGTCGAAGTCACGCGCAATGTCTCACCGAGGACTTGACTTGTGACAGCATTCTTACGATAACGTGCCTCATGGAGAATTCCAGGTCAGAAACCAAGCTCGTTTTTGGCCGATTTGGTGGTGGGTTGTTGTGTGCTACTCGTACTATACGGTACGACTGCGCTGTCTCTGTGTTGCGTCGTTGCCAGCATTCGCTCGCTTGCTGGATGCGGCTGGACGGCTACGGGCTACTTCGCGAACGAATGTGCATCTTCTCGCCGCCAATCACGACGAAGATACATACTAGTTTTAGATAGATAGATAGATAGATAGATAGATAGATAGATAGATAG